GTGGGGCAGGAGGATCATATAGATAAAGTCTTGTAGACCATTATAAGGGCTTCAGCTTTTAAAATGACTGCCGCCACCTCGCCAGTGTGGCTTAGTGGTTGAGCATTGACCCATGTACCAAGAAGTCACCGGTTCGATTCCTGGTCAGGGTACATGCCGGGTTATGGGTAAATCTCCAATGAGGGGCATGCAGGAAGCAGCCAATCAAGGTTCTTTCTCATCGATGTATCTATCTCTCCCTTTCCCTTTCTTTCTCTCAAAAAAAAAAAAAAAAAATCAATAGAGAAAAAAAGTTTTAATAAATAAAATTAAATGACTGCCACCATTACAAAGATATGACTTATGCTTGAAAAAGGCTAACAACAGTGTGTTGCCAATACTCTGACAAGAGACTAGAGGAGAGACGAAGAGGCTGTGGCCATACTCAGGGAGAGCTGAGGATGCTGGCACCAGCGAGGAAGCAGAGCACGTGGAGGTGTGCGCAGGTTCTAGATTTGACTTGAAGGTACAGCGGCTAGAAATTACTTTATAACTGAGTTTGTGTTATTTTAAGCATTTTATTACCCTGAGTCTCCTTGATAAACATTTATAAAATGTAACTAGTTTAAGTTTTTCCCCAGGCTTCTTCAAGTGCATATTTAGCAGTATATGAAACAGCACATTATAGAGCTTCCTTTCTAAGGTCTTTTTTAATTGATTCACTGATTCAATGGCAGGTATTTAAAATTTTATTAATTTTTAAGTTATTTGCCTCATAATACAAATAACAGAAAATGCCTGATGTACATGTTTTTAAAATAGTTCCAACGTTATTGCTCCTCAGATAAAGCTTCCATTCTTTTAATAGGGTTTTTAAAAATTGTTCTTTATGCCCTGGCCGGTTTGGCTCAGCAGTTAGAGCATCAGCCTGCGGTCCACAGAGACCTGGGTTCAGTTCCCGCTAAGGGCATGTACCTTGGCTGCAGTTTGTCCCCGGCCCTGGTTGGGTCGTATGGGTGGCGGCCACTCGATGTGTCCCTTTCACATCGATGTTTCTCTCTCTTCCTCTCTCTCTTTCCCGCTCTATCTGAGTAAAAAATGGAAAAATGTCCTCAGGTGAGGATAAATAAATAAATAAAAAAAATTGTTCTTTATTATGTTATATGAAAAGGAGGGAAAGAAAATGAAACATGGGCATTAAGAGCACTGGTGTTGGCCCTGCAGTTGTGGCTCCGTGGTTGAGAGTAGACCTATACACCAACAGGTTGCTTCGATTCCCAGTCAGGGCACATGCCCAGGTTATGGGCCTGATCCCTAGTGGAGGCCATACAGGAGGCGGCCAATCGATGTTCTCTCAATGTTTCTAGCTCTCTCTCTCTCTCTTCCTAATACCATTAAAAAAATTTTTTTTTAATTTTTTTAAAGAGCACTGGCTTTACAATGCAAAAGTCCATGCTCCAGGACAACAAAGCTGGGGACAGGATGGGGAAGGAGGGGAAGGTGGATATCAGTGGGGGGTAAAAGGAGAAACATCTGTAACAAATATAAATTAATTAATTAATTTCTTTTAAAAAGTGCATGCTCCAGACCTTAAGGGAAGTAGCCTAGCAGCCTCTTTCCTTGGAGACTACAGAAAAGATTGCTGTGAGCATTTTATGTTGTTTTGTATATAGAATAGTTAACACAGTATATCGGGTGCATATTTAAAATTTTTGTAATTGATCTTTACTATGTTTGTTTTAATAATGGCCATAACAGGGAGCTATTGATGACTCAGGAAGTATTTGCATTTATTAGGAAAAATAATTTTTTAACTGTATTAATTAATTAATTCATTTATTTATTTTTGTTATAGATGTTTCTCCTTTTTCCCCCACTGACTCCCCCCTCTCCCTCCCTTCCCTCCCTGTCCCCAGCTTTGTTGTCCATGCCCATTGCTCATGCATACATGCATGTAAATTCTGTGGTTTATCTCTCCCCCACCACTCCCTCTTCTGGGGATTGTCAGGCTGTACCCCACTTCCACATCTCTGGGACTATCCCATTCCTCAGATTGTTATGTTCATTATATTCCACAAATAAGTGAGATCATATGGTATTTGTCTTTTTCTGCTTGGCTTGTTTCATATAGGATAATACTTTCCAGGTCCCTCCATGTCGTCTCAAAGGATAAGAGATCTTTCTTTCTTACAGCTGCATAGTACTCCATTGTGTATATGTACCACTGCTTTTTTATCCATTCATCTACTGATGGACACTTGGGCTGTTTCCAGATCTTAGCTATTGTAAATAGATCTGCTATGAACATGGGGGTACATATATATTAGGAAGAATAATTTTAGAAGGCACTGTTACTTTAGGCTTGACTGCAGTGAAGTTGCCATTTATTCCTAATAATTTAGATACAGAACACCATTTCATATGCCTAATATTAAGTACATAGTCTGATATCTACACTAAAATAAGAACATATGAATCAGAGCAATTCCAAAATATTAAATGTTGTATTTAACCTGTCAGATGTGTACCTAATTTAGTAATGAACTCAGTAAAATGATGACCCTTCACTGTGTATAATCATCTTTATGTTAATAAAGGTCGATATAGGTGACGTTCCCCTGAGTTACCTTTCTTCCTTTTCATTGCCTACACCCCTGGCTCCACTCCATAGGTGGGCTATGTGCTCCCAGTGAAGTTTAATGTGACTGGACAAGTTGCTCTGTTGCTGTGGATGACAGTTGAAGCAAACAGTAACATTCACTCCAATGTTACTGTTACAAAGTAACCAGTGGCAGCTGTCCTAAAGCCAAGCCAAAGGACATGTCAGTGATTAGAATGATGGGTTCTTTGCTCTTTGCCATCAAGTTTGCATAAGTGTGTTTGGTGAAATAACCACCTGCAATTTTGTGGCATGAGTTTTTATTGTAATTAATATATATATATATGTATGTATATATGTATATATATATAAAATATAACACAATGTAGTTACAGTTTTTGTCAGAATGTCCAAATTACCAAATTGATGATTGATATAGAACTCCTCAGTTGAACTTTTGTGATCATTGTCAGTACATACTCATTTATAGGTTACAGTCTGGGTTTTGTGCTGTCATTTTCTCAATGGTTTTTAAGTAATATGTGCAAAACAATCCATCATTGAATTGTTATAAAACATTGGAGCTGGCTTATAGTTCAGTGCTTTATAATTTATAGACAAGATTTTCTTTTCTTCTTCCTAAAAATAATAGAAAAACCAATATTTTGCCATTAGTTGTTTTTGTTTTTTTCTGTGTGTTTTTTTTATCCTCACCCTAGGACAATTTTCCATTTTTTGTTCAGATAGAATGGGAGGGGAGGAGAGGAAGAGAGAGAGAGAGAAACATCAACGTGAAAGGGACACATCAAGTGCCTGCCTCCCGCACAACCCAACCAGGGCCGGGGACAAACTGCAACGGAGGTGCGTGCCCTTAGTGGGAACCGAACCCGGGTCTCTCTGGACCTCAGACCGATGCTCTAACTGCTGAAGCAAACCGGCCAGGGCCATTAGTTTTTCTTTAGTTAACATTCAGATGCATTTAGTTAACATTCTGATGGGGGAAAAAAGTAATTAAATAATTTATTTTTCCCTACTTAGAAGCAAAATATAATTGTCAGAAATATTTTCAAAGCATGAATTTGAGCAGCACATGAGTTTCTGAAATAAATTACTCTATATTGGAAAAAATCTTCACTTAAATGATGCTTTGATATGAATAAGAGGTCTTTATGTCAATGAGATACAGGTGTAACTTTAAAATTTAATTGCTTTTTATCCTAATTGACTAGTTTACAAGCATCATACACACATATACACATGTGTGTGTATGTATGTGTGTGTATACACATATACATTTAAAGAAAACAGTGGGAATATATTAAAAAAAAATCTTGTTGGAAAGTTATTTTAAGCATTTGTTTTTCCTAGTTCTTGTTTCTGCCTATTTTACACAAAAACAAAAGTTAGTAAGTTAGAATGAAATGCATAAATCTTTTGGGAATTAAAATACAATCTTTAGAAAAATGAGCTAATAGGGGAGGAAATGATTGGTGTTAATTATCAAATGCAAACATATTTATTTTGTTGAAATATGTAGATTTTGTAATGAATATAAGATTACTATACCTTTTTCTCTGTGTTAACAAAGACAGTTAAAATGTATAATTTTAGATGATTGCTATACCACCAGATACTTAAATTGATACATACAGACTAAATTCTAAATTCCTGCCATTAGATATATCTTATATTTTATATGCTAACTTTAGCAAAAGATTTTTATTTGGTTTTCATAGCTACTTTTAGAAGTCCTGTTGAAAACTCACATTGATTTCATAGGGATATTTGGTTAAGTACAAAAACCTTGAAACCTAGCTGATCTTTTCCCTCTGTATGTTTTTATTCAATTTTTTTATTTATTTATATGCCCACAAATTTAAACAAACAAAAAGAGTGGAACAGTAGACCACTACTTGTATCCAACCCAAAATTTTTACATTTCTTCAACAATTAAAATTAAATCCCCTATTCCACATTAGTTTGATTTGGAAGAGAAGTCGTTAAGATATTTAAACTTGCATTCAGTGTTTCTTTAATAATATTTTCATTCAGAGGATATTCATTTAATTGGCCAAATGTTTGGCACTGCTATAAAACACTTTCCCTGCCATGCTCAAGGACTAGTCATTGTTTTCTGTATATCTAGAAAATATTTATTGTAATCCTTTACCTTGAAGGCTGTCTAAAAGAGAATAATTCCATTTCATTTATTCCAGGTCAAAATATGAAGCAAATGGCTACAAATATCTGAATACATTTTCACTATAGACACAATATGTACACTATGGACTGATAGGCATTTTTCTTAATTATTTGGATATTTTAAGGAAAATATATACGTGTGCAGTTGTAGATATAAATATAAAATATATAAAAGTAAATGTTCTATCAATATAAATGACTGATTCTGATTGTTTTTCAGGCCTGATGGAATTGGAACAGTTTCAATGGAAGAAAAAGAGAGATTTGAGGAAATAAAAGAAAGACTGTCTTTCCTTTTAGAAAATCAGATAAGCCATTTCAGGTATGTACTTTTTTCATTAATACAAGTATTTGCTTTATTACTTCACTCAGCCCTCCGATCACCTACGAATGGTTAGTCTTTTTGCAACTGCTCAACAATTAGTAGTAGCTTCTCCACATGCATCAATCTGTGCTCTGCCTTTCAACCTGCCGTTCATTTTCTACTGCTCATTTAAGTAAGCCTCGTCCCTGCGATGTCTGTTCCACTGTACCTCTCACTGCCTCGTGTGTTTCTTGCTGCGTAGCCTCTTCGCCTTGGCTCTGTGACTGTTCCTCCCTCTCTCTGTATCACCAGTCAAGCAGACTCTCAAGTCCCACTTTCACAGCAGAACTTTCTCAGTTATTCCAGCAAAGAGTGGAAAAGCTGAAGTCTTAGCTGCACTCTGCCCTTATCACATGGTTATGGTACACATTTCTTGTCATTGCTTGTTGTTGTTGTTTTTGATTTACATTCTATGAGAACAGGGACCACAGTGCCTAGCACAGTTCCTTGCTCAGAAAAGTGATTGCAACTTGGGCTGGTATTATTCACCTTAAGTGAATGAGGGAAGATTTTCATTGTCACAATAACCAGGCACAGGGCCATTTTCCTCTGCAAGTAACAGATCCTACCTCAGACTGGTTTAAACAAATGAATGTATGTGTTCACCTACCTGTTGGTCTCAGGTAGGTGAACTTCAAGACAGGCTGAATTGTGTAGCCATTGCTCTGTTTCTCTGTGATTTTCACATAACTGTCCTCCTTCATAGGAAAGCTTCATCCCCAGATTGGTAGCAGTTTCACAGAATTCCTTGCCTCAGATCCATACATACCAGTTTTCAAAGGAAGTAGTGGGGGCCACCTCTTTCTGTGATGCTCTCTTAAGATCAAGAAGTCTTGTTAGATGATTCTAGCAAACTACCCCTCATATCTCATTTGCCCTGAATAGGTCATGAGCTGGTCCTGTAATAAACCCAGTGGCCAGAGGATGCCCATGCACTGGATACCTCAGTTAGGCACTGAGGAGTAATGGGATCACATGATTGAATTAGCTAATCAGAGCCACTCCACCCAGGGAGTTCAGTCCCCCTCCCTGCCGCCCAGCAAATACACGGGGAGGCAGGAAAAACAGTTGTCCACATTGTTTGTTGTATTAGTGTCCTCTCACAGTTTTGTTCTCTATTTCTCTTAAATGCATATCTTCTTTTAGTAACGTCTCTAAAGATATACTCTATAATCCTTTTTAGCTTATATTTCATTGCTACACTGAGGACAAAAACTGAAAGGATTTAGTCTAGACAGTTTGAGTTGACTTTTATATTCTTTTTTTTTTTTATCCTTATCCGAGGACATTTTTTCCATTTTTTGTTCATATAGAGTGGGAGGGAAAGAGAAGAAGAGTGAGAGAGAGAGAGAACATCGATGTGAAAGGGACACATCGAGTGGCTGCCTCCCGCATGGCCCTGACCCACTCAGGGCTGGGGACAAACTGCAACCAAGGTACATGCCCTTAGCAGGAACTGAACCTGGGTCTCTCTAGACCGCAGGCCAACACTCTAACCGCTGAGCCAAACCAGCCATGGCTATTCCCTTTTTTTAAAAAAAGATGTTTTTATTGATTTTTTTAGAGAGGAAAGGAGAGAGAGATAGAAACATCAATGTAAGAGAGAAATCGACTGGCTGCCTCCTGCATACCCCCAACTGGGGATCAAGCCCGCAACCTGGGCATGTGTCCTGACCAGGAATCTAACCAACAACCTCTCAGTCCATGAGACGATGCTCAATCCACTGAGCCACATCTGCCAGGCTATATTCCCTTTTGATGTTTGTACAATTTGTATAAATTGTGCCAGCTCTGTTTTTGTTTTTCTTAGTCCATAGAATATTGGATAACAGGAAGTGAGACTAAAATAAAACAGGAGAAATTTTAGGTGTCCACATAGGCAAATTTATAAAAATTTTTAAATTTTACATGAGGATTTTCATAAGGATGTGAAATTATTTTCCTTAGTCACTTGTATTTAAATTTAGAAGGAATATAAATTAGTTATCAACTCAGGCTAAAGAATTAATTACAGTAATATTAATAGGTCTTATATAGAAATTTATTTATTTAGGTCCAACTATATTCCACAAATGCATTTCAAAGACACAGATAAATTAAACATAAATGAGGAACTTATGATTAAAGATAGAAGACTGATGCATGTCTACCAAGCTTCCTCCCAAGTCCGAACTAAAATAACATTATTTTTCAGAAGATACAAACCCACAAGGAAAACTAAAGTAAGAAAGGGAAAAGGTTTATAGAAGTCAGATGGACGCATGGTATCTAATTTAGCCACCCAGGAAAAACTGAACCACAAGCTGGCAGTGGAGAAAACAGAGAGGCGATCTTATTTGTGTCATACAGTCACCGGATGTTTAGGAATTGCCTGTATCAAGTCCTTCTAGAAAATAAGAGTGAAGGACAATTTGTCATAAATGTGCTTAAAACTCACTTAGATCCCTACATCTCTTTTCCACCTCAGGCTGCTCTGTGTTCCCCTGCCCTGCGAGCCCTCTGGGCAGAGCCCTGCAGATTCGATTTGGTCCCTGGAGAGGGTAGAAATAGAGGGTACCTGCACTGGGGTGCAGGAGGGGAGGAAACATCCGGCACAGTTGGAGTTAAGGTTATATGCAGACACATGGAGATTAAATAAACGTTAATTCCGAAATCTGAGAACCACAGCTTTCTTCTACCAGCCCATACCCCTGACTCTCAGAATACTGGCAGGCATGTTACAAAGGCCTTCCCCTGGGACCCTGATTAGCCCAAGAGAAAAGACCTAACACTCTGGACAATCAAGACTCCTACTGAAACAGCCCAGTCAGGTTCCCCTTCAGCGAAGACCGTGGTCTACACGTAACCAGCTGGAGCGCATTGCTTCCATTCAGTTTTTTAATACCACACCTTTGAAAGTGATCAGATAGCCAAAGTCATCAGACATTTGAGGAAAGCATTTACTATGGACGACAGAGCTCCAAAAAAGTAAATACAATAAAAGCAATTTGGGAAAAAAACAAACCAAAGAGTATATGGGAAGAAGAAAATGGGGGAGGGGGAGGTGGTGGGAATGAATTGCCAACATCCTTGGAGAGGTCTGAGAAGATACAGCATCTGTAAAACAAAAGCAAGACGTTGTTTAAGAAGAAGGGGAAGGAAGAAAGAAGAAGAGAAAAAATCTTGGAAAAAAAAAGCTCTTAGAAATTATTTGCAAATGACACACAAATACATACACACTATTGAAAGAATTGGTTAATGAAACCTTGCAGAAAGTAGGGTGGGGATAGGAAAATAGGACTACAAAGATAAGAAAAATTAAAGATCTGTTTAGGAATGTCATCATCATAAATAATAGGAATTCCAGAAACAGTTAAGTCTGAAGGTAGGAAACTTTGAATAAAATCATTCAAAACCCTTTTCCAGAATTAAAAGATATTAAGTGTTCAAATTGAAATATTTAATACCTAGCACAATGGATTAAAATATTTACTCATCAGGATACATAATCATGAATTTGTAGATTCTTGATGATAAAAGATCCCAAAATACAAAGAATCAGAATGGCTTCTCAACGTTAATTTATTCTAGAAATATTTGTTGCGTGCTTACTATGTGTCAGGCAGTGAACAACAACAACTAAAAAGATCTTTTACTTCTGCGCCTTTCATTAGGGACTAGACTTGGTTGAATTATATTTGATAATTGAGTTTTTTCAACTTGCATTGCTATCATACAGCTGTCAAAGTGGTAAAAACCCAAAACATTTATCCTGAAAGGCAAGACAAAATGATTCCCTATTTTTAAAAATTGTTTTGTAAAGATTTATTAAGCTTCTGTGTAGCTATTTTCTGTACTTTATTGACTCAGGATTAATTGTACTCTATAAATGTGTTGAACTATTTACACATCATGGGCAGCTAATAGTAATTTAGAATATGCCCAGTGGGACCTTAGAGGCCTGAAATGCTAAATGTAATCTGGGGATCAGTAACATTCCATTCATAAAATGCATCACCCACAGGTTAATGGAAATAAACAATAGGCAAGACAATGAGTGGATTATGCAAATACACTGAAAAGATTTGAGTAAGGGAAAGAGACAACAAGAACCCAATTTGTGTTTTATTTAAAGGTGGATTAACGTTTATGGTATACAAAATGATTAAAGCTACTTTGCTAATTTGCTAATGCTCTAAAAAGCATCACTACATAGGAAAAACTATCAAAATAAATTGGTTGTGGCTTTTTTTGTGTGCAGGAGAGGCTAATAGGGTGCAAAGAGGCAAGATTAAGTGAAGGAAACTTTTAACAGGAAATGAACAGTATTCTGAAGAAAAAATTGACTAGATTTATATGACATTTATTTGCGTTCATATGAGACGCATAAAAGTTTCATGAAACTAAAATTTAGTCTTTATATTCAGCTACTGCTTTGTGAGAAATCACTCTTACTTTTTCATTCAAATTTGGTCCTATGAAGCAAATCTAACTTAAAATACAAGTGCTTTTAAGGAAAACCTGTTCAAATTACAACGTGAGAGACACATTTCATTGTTTTTTTTTTGTTTGTTTCTTTTTTGTTTTTAATTAATTTATTTTTTATTAATTAATTTTTGTTACAGATGTTTCTCCTTTTCCCCCACTGATTCCCCCCTCCCCCTCCCTCCCTGCCCTGTCCCGTTTGTTGTCCATGTCCACTGTTCATGCATACACGCATATAAATTCTGTGGTTTATCTCTCCCCCACCACCCCCTCTTCTGGGGATTGTCAGTCTGTACCCCACTTTCACATCTCTGGGACTACCCCATTCCTCAGACTGTTATGTTCATTATATTCAACAAATAAGTGAGATCATATGATAACTGTCTTTCTCTGTTTGGCTTGTTTCACTTAGGATGATACTTTCCAGGTCCCTCCATGTAGTCTCAAAGGATAAGAGATCTTTCTTTCTTACAGCTGTGTAGTACATATGTACCACTGCTTTTTTATCCATTCGTCTACTGATGGACACTTGGGCTGTTTCCAGATCTTAGCTATTGTAAATAGTGCTGCTATGAACATGGGGGTACATATATTCTTTCTGATTGGTGTTTCAGGCTTCTTAGGGTATATTCCTAGAAGTGGGATCACTGGGTCAAATGGAAGTTCAATTTTTAATTTTTTGAGGTAACACCATATTGTTTTCCATAGTGGCTGCATCAGTCTGCATTCTCACCAGCAGTGTACTAGAGTCCCCTTTTCTCCACACCCTCGCAAACACTTGTTGTTTGATGATTTGTTGATGGCGGCCATTCTGACAGGTGTGAGGTGATACCTCATTGTTGTTTTAATTTACATCTCTCTGGTGATTAGTGATGATGAGCATTTCTTCATATGTCTCTTGGCCATTTGCACGTCCTGTTTGGAGAGGTGTCTATTTAGTTCCTCTGCCCATTTTTTAATTGAGTTCTTTGTCTTCCTTTTGTGGAGTTGTATGAGCACTCTATATGTATTGGAAATTAACCCCTTATCTGATATATCATTGGCAATTATGCTCTCCCATACAGTGGGTAGCCTTTCCGTTTTGATGATTGTATCTTTCGCTGTGCAGAAGCTTTCACATTTCATTGTTAATTGCATCTTAGATAATATGTCTGCTGAGTCCCTGAATAATGGTAGAGGACACGGAAATAAACTTATTTTCAAGTCACTGGTTAGGAGATTTGTAAGTCTGAGCAGGGTGGCAGCCTGAGGGCAGCCCAGCTGCCGGTAGCACTTGATCTTGGAGCAGGAGCATGGTCACCATGGGTTCAGCAAAGCAAGGAGTTCAAGCAGGATGAAGTAGCCCTGACATTTGTACTCTTTAAGTGGAAAGTAACCTGAAGAGGGACCTGCCTTTTAAAGATCAGTAAACCTATCACCACCATGTGGCACTATGTTCTGAGGAGCCACTCAAGCTCCCAGCCTCTGACCCTGACTTCAGAACATCTGTATAATTTGCTCTTGGGCTGACTGTGTGTATGAGGAGTACATGGGCCAAGAGGACTTGGGATAAATGACCCTGCTGGCAAAGGGGCTACAGAAGGTTTGTGTGTTTTGTGTGGGGAGGTGGAGAGTTAGATACCAGCATGAGAGTTAGATACCAGGAAAGAGGGGAGCTGGAACCTTGTTAATCCTAGAAGTTATGCTAATGGTGTGTGTTTCCATTTTAAACCATAGGAAGAAATGGGGAAGTCCTTTCATTTTATCACAGACGAGAAACTATTAGGAAATGTACTTTAAATATCTCTACTCATAGAAGCCCAGAGGTTCTTTTTGGATTACTGTAGTATTTCTGTTCATGTGTCATCAAAACGTTAGAAGCTGTTTCCTCACGAGTTATATACCCTTATTGTTTAAGATATTTAACTCATGAAACTGGGTAAACGTCAGCATTCAAGTTTTCCTTGATGGGCAGAGGCTATTTCAACCACTTTTCATTGTTTTCCATTCATGCCAGGGTAATAGAAGAGGGAATTATGTAGCAGTTTGAATATTAAATGTTTGACCTTTTGTTCTTCCTTTTTTTTTTTTTGAAGATACTGTTTTCCCTTTGGACGACCTGAAGGTGCTCTAAAAGCTACACTTTCCCTACTTGAAAGGGTATGTTTAAACATTACTTTATGAATACTATTCACGTTGTCAATTGCTGTGTATTTTAGCTATTGAATTAGGCAGACAGTCTCATTCCTCATGAGTGTGTTCTCTGAGTTCATCGCATTTTATAAATTTCTCACATTTTCTTGCTACATTCAAAATCTCCCTGAATCCTGCTTCTTCCTCCCCAAAACCTTTCTGAAGCCTACCATGGCATCATTGGCTGATCTGATGGCATCTTTTTGATACTTATCTATTTTTCTACCTTTTTCTCCCCTCATAAAATAGGTGTGTGTTGTTTTTCCAGTTAAGTATAATTAACCATTTTTAGACTTCACAGCTGTCTTTTATTTTTCCCCCTGACTTATTTGTATTTCTACCTGTCATTTGTATTTCTACATATTCCTCATACATAAAAGAATCTGTAATTTAATATTCACAAACATCATTCCTTTTATTCTAAATTCATCTCAGAATTTATTTCAATTCAATCTATGTGTTGCTCTAAATGAATTCCTGAATTGTAGAAATCTATTTTGCCTCAAAAAATAAATAGCAAGTAAGGTTTCATATCCATGCTAAAAAATCCTTTATTAATGACAATATACCTTCATCCCTATTTTTGTGCTAGATTAGGTTTGAAGGGGAGGTATCATTTTCATCTGTTTATAAAACTTTTCATGTGCTTATTGGAAGCTAACAATTAAGTAGTGTGGCCAACCCCTTTTCTTCATCAGTGTTAAAAGTGTCTAGAAATCATCTATAACCCATGATTTGCTTATTATGATCCTGATTTATCAACTTCAAGCACTTGTTCCTGTCCATTTTTCATCCCAGTGAGTTTTAGATGTTAAATTGTTTATTAGCACCTCTAGGAAAAGAAGAAAGAAGAGACATTTTTAGGGATTTAAGGACTTGGGAGATGAGGGCAAGAACTAGTGGCTAAAATGAGATCTTTTACGTATAAATTGGTTTCATCTACATACCCTTGTCTTATCTTTAATTACTATGCATTGTGTGATAGAAATATTGCAAGAATTCTGTTTTATCAGAATTTTTATAATATTAAAAGCCACATGCAACCCAACCTTTTCAAAGGATACCTTTTATCCTATCCATTAAGGTACATGGTTAAGATATAATACTAAAAGATAGCTTTACTTTTGGGAACCACATCCCATCCCGGGAACCAGTGCAGTCTCTCTGTAGGCTGGTTTCCATGACAGAGCCCATCTCCACTCGCCAGCCCAGCAGGGAGAGTTAGTGGCAGCAGAGATGCCCTCATGCCCTGCGCTGACAGGAGACAGGATGAACAGTGACCTTTATTCCAGTTATAGTCACTAATCAGCTCTCTTGCTGAATTTAGAGATACATGGTAAAAACCTTATGTTCATTTTCATGTCTCTGTACTTACTGACATGTTAGAAAAATAAAATAAAATCTACATGGGAATTCTTGACACCTATCAGGAAAGAGGATTCATTTCCCCCCCCTCTCCAAATAAAGTGTCCAGCACCTAGAACAGAAGAAAAATTGCCTGATTTCAACCCTGGACTCACTTCATTCTAATTTTAGCAGCTACTTATTTCTATTATTTAAAAGTTTGTCAGCATGGTAAGGACTAATAGTAATGTTTATGGTTCTGCATATGGTACAAAATTAATCTTAAATTCAAATTTTCATAATACAGAAAAAATAATAGTGCATGTTAATGCTTATATATTTTTTACTATAAGTAGAAGGATTTTTCTGTCTATAAAGAATCTAATGTTCAGTTCAAAATAAAGTGCAAATATGTGTCTGTGTTAAAGATTAGTAATATGAGAGTACGAAGAATAAGGGAAGTTGATAGGGAGGAAGTTTTTAAATGTGGAAGTTTGTTGTTGTCAAAAGGAAATGTTGCCTAACAAAATTTAAATATGTTGTCAAGGACCAATGCTAGAACCATTGAATACATTTGAGATTATGAGATCCTCAGTGCCAAGGCTGATCTAAAGAGAATGAAATAATAAAGCAGAAAATAGGTGTTTTCATGTTCTTTCATTATTTCTTCCAAGATAAAAGACTAACAGGATAGTAAGAACACTTCAGTATTGTCTTCTCTATAGTAACATTTTGCTTTATATTTTATACTTTGAATGTAAGCAAAGCAGGAAAACAAAAACCATTGACTATATGAAAACTAGAGTTGGACTAATAGTGCAATCCAAACTTATTGTGAGCAGTTTTATCACTAGGAAAATGTAAGGAAAACTATCAGTCATTAAATGAATGCTAAAATATATTGGTTTTTGAATTCTGAATTGCCTCTTGCCAATAGTAATATATATATATATGTTTTTTTATCCTCACCCAAGGACATTTTTTCCATTTTTTGTTCAGATAGAGCGGGAGGGAGAGAGAGCAAGAGAGGGAGAGAGAAACATCGACGTGAAGGGACACATCGAGTGGCTGCCACCCGCACAACCAACCAGGGCCGGGGACAAACTGCAACCGAGGTACGCGCCCTTAGCGGGAACTGAACCCGGGTCTCTCCGGACCGCAGGCCGACGCTCCAACCACTGAGCCAGACCAGCCAGGGCGCCAGTAGTAATATTTTTAAAGAAAAACTCTAAAAACACAATTTAGGAACCCAACAGAAAATAATCAGTGTTTTTTTCTAAAGTAGAAAGTCTCCGTGTATTTTAACATTTGATACTACATTCCACAGAGACAAAGAAGTTTTCTCCCTCAATAATAGATCATAGTAACTAAAATTTAATTAGTGAAAGTGTTACTGGAGAATGGCACAGGTGGCATTTCTCCATCGCCAGTGGGAGTGGGGTTCTTGGGGCACTGCTGAAATAAGAATTTCTGGAGGCTCCCATGGGAGAATGAGATGTGGTAAGAATCTTTATTTGCATGAAATTTTATCCCTCTGTTTCTAAGGTCCCAGTTCCCCTCAACAGTCCTGGATAAGGGGTAGCTGGGGCTTCAGTAAAGCCAGAAGCAAAGCCAGTCTCCAGAGTTTCCATTCCATGGTGGAGTTGAGTCGGTCAGCATCAGGCTAGTTGTATTCCATTAGTCCATTGTGTGGGTCCTGCGTGGCTGTGGGCCACGTGGATGAATGCAGAGCATGGGAGTCCCACAAGCTGGGAGTCAGGCATGAGCAGCAAGAGGACCGAGAGAGCCAAGAGGACAGATTCCCTTTAAATATCTCAGATTCTGCGTCCCTGCAATAGCCATGCCTATTCTGGCCAACTACCTGATTTTAGGTGTAGTTGACAGGCAAGCACCTTCCCAAGTCATCCAGACTTTACTGGGCGTGCATCTAACCTGCCTTTGTCCAGTCCTTACCCCACAGACCTCTGGAAACAGACCTGGAGAGCGTTAAATTGCAGCTTCCTGGCAAAGCTGTATAAATGGCATGCCTATATTTTCTAGTCTCCTCTTTGCTCCTTTCCTGTTAATAACCAGGTTATTACAACAGTATCAATAGTAGTGATCTTGATTTTTATAGAGCACAAAAATGATACTTATTCTTAATGAAGTTTTTGTTATTGTTTTCATCTGTGCTGCTCAAAACATTTAAAGCTCTTAAATTAGAGATGTGGAGGACACAGTTTATTACTTATCCCAGTGACGATAATCCTGATCTGAAACAGCTGCTCTAATGGTGTCATGGGTCCCTGGAGAAAGAATGACAGTCACACTGAATGGTGGCTTGGCCTATGGGAGGTTTTGATGTGCACAAATGAGCTTTAGACAGGAGGATCCAAGATTGGAGGATTACTTCCCAGTCGTGAAGTGCCAACTCATTACTTACCCTGTGTTACCTAGGACCCCTCCTACTAATTAATAGTCAGGTCTAGAACAATTTGTGTAATGTTTTTAGTATTTTTGCAATCTCTCTCTCTCTCTCTAGGTTTTAATGAAAGATATTGCCACTCCCATACCAGCAGAAGAGGTGAAAAAGGTGGTCAGAAAATGTCTGGAGAAAGCTGCCTTGATCAATTACACTAGACTCACAGAATATGCCAAAATAGAAGGTCAGTGCAGTGAGCAATTGCCGAAGCGGCAGTGAGAGCCAACAATGCCTATTAACTGAATTTTCTGTGAGAAGCCCTTTCCTTTCCTGAACAAACCTGTGCCATGGCAAAGGGAAATGTCTCATTAAAATCTCAGCTGGTGAACTGAAGAGCTTTTTCCTATTCATTGCTTTAATATGCCTCCTGGGACTCTGCTTGAATGAAAGACCCAGGATTCATGCTTAAGTTGTCCTTTGTTCTTATTTTGAGTTTGCAAGAAACCAAGAGGTGTTTTCAAGGGTTGTATTTTTGACATTACTGTAAGTATGTCTAACATTTAAACTATGGACAGTGTATTCTTTCCTAATCAGTAACAGTGTAGTGTTACATAATTTTATTTTCTACTCTGCAGGGTCCCTCAGAGAAGGAAGAAACTTGTTGATTATCATTAGGGTTGAAATAAACTGATAGAATTCTTTGCAACTTCTAATTGCTTGCAATATATCAATGCATTTGAAGATTAGATCTCTTGAGAGAACTGTGAATTTTTTTTCTCTTCAGGTTTTATTTATAAGGTTACTGACATTTAAGATGTTTAGAAATAAGTAGATTAAAATGTGTGGCAAAGTCACACAATTAGTTTTTTACTCAACAATCCTTTGATTGATATAATTAAAAGTAATAGAAAGGACCTTAAATGTTTTACTCTAATTATAAAACTAGCTGTTTCAACACATATAGCATTAACGTAGTGAGGAAAAAGTTTGCAATGTTAAAAATTTATGTCTAAAAATAAAAAGTAAATTGTTAGAAAAAATTTAGTAACTTTTAATGTAAAATTGTACATAATTATAAATTTATTAATTAGTTGCTATTATGATAGTGTCATCAAAATTGGGACAATGAAAAAAGATTATTATCATTGGCTGTGTTATATCCTTTTTTCTCTCCAAATCTCATGAAGCTTTCTAACAAGCATGTGATAACCAACCTCCTGAGTGATTAACAAAAAAGCCATCCCGTCACTATAGCAACCAATATTATATCACGAGAGTAACAACATGAAACCTCCTTAGTTACCAGTTTAACATCATTAATTATGATATCATGTTGTGTTAAAGCACAAGCAATGAATACTAGATCATTTGGGGAAAGTGGAAGATAAACAGATTGGTTTTCACATTTTGAATACTCATTCAAACAGTTCTCATGTTTTGGGAATAGTGGGTGTTGTGTACACGGATTAAAAGAATTCATTTAAATTAGACATATTAAAACCTTTCAAATCTGGCAAAGAGAAAAATATTTGTATACAACCTGAATAAACACAATATTGCTTTATCTAAATATTATGAATCCTATCAAAAAAAAAAAAAAAAACCAAAAAACTATGAGAATCTTTTTGTTCTTAACTGTCTATTTTAGTTGATTTTTTTTTACCATTACCTTATCCAAGAATACTGAAAAAGTGTGCAGTACACACACACACACACACACACACATATATATTTGTTCATCTCTGTTTTTAATTTTTAGTCACAGAGTACCTTGTAATGTGGACAAATGGAGACTCATCTGTTCACAAACGTGGCCTTCTTTCATTAATCAGCTAGCTAGATAAATAAACATGGTATAGTGATCAGAAAGGTGCAGTTACTCTTCTGTGTCACACATGAAAACAAGTCTGTATTAGAGAAAAGCCTACAGTAGGACCCAGGGGTCGGCAAGCAGAGAACTCTTTCACCTTTTCCTTTTCTAGTCTAGTATGAGAATATTCTAGAAAATGGATCCTGGAAATCTAGTCAGGTAGAACTACTGAGCAGTCTCTTTTTAAAAAAAACAAAATGCATGTTTTCTAGATGAGAAAAACTTGTGTACTTTTTATTACCTCCCTCCCCCTTTTCTGTATCTTAAAAAATAAAGAGCTTTTGTTTTAGGCTTATGATCAGACCAAGCAAGAACAAAGTCAAATTTAAGTCAGAAATAGGAAGTGGGCTACTTTTGTTTGTGCGGTTGGCCTTCTGTATTATGTAAGCAACATGAGTAGAGTTTGTTTTTCTCCTAAATTGTCTTTTCTTATGTTTTAGGCCCAGAAGAAAAGGACACAGGTAACTGATGCCTGTGCATGCTCGTGACGTTCTGTCTCATGGGTGCTCCTGTGCTCTGATATCAGGAACAACTCTCCTTTTCAGGACCACTGTTAGATCACTTCAACTCAGATAGTGAAAATACTTTCATTTTATCCAAACCATTGCTGATGCTTTGTAGGGAAAACATAGGCCATTTATCTCTGTAAAAGTTCAGCACTGGTTTCAGATATGCATTCAAAGCAAAATACCTGAGGCTGTGTTAATGTTATGCATTATGTTTTAAGCATAGACATTAATCTCATTTGGAAGCTGTCACCACTACTTGAAGGGCTCTTTCAACTAGAAAAAAGGACCATCTTTCTATTATCATTCCTGAAAAATAACATGAGAGTAAAAAGTATAAATGCTATTAAATAAAAAATAAGCGGCTCTTAACTTTGAAAGTTGTTAATCATAGGAATGAGCAGAGGTTATAAAATCCCATCTCAAGGAATTGCTGGGAAAGAGTTCTCTGGGTCTCTGAATTGTGAAAGGTATTATTACTTTTTTCTAGTGTCACTTATCACAGTTGTAATTTTTTTTATGTTTAAATGTTTTAATTTATTGGCTCCTAGAGAGGAAGGGAGAAAGAGAGAAACATTGATTTGCTGTTTCACTTATTTATGCATTCTTTAGTTGATTCTTGTATGTGTCCTAATTGGGGATCAAACCCACAACCTTGGCACATCAGGACAATGCTCCAGGCAACTGGGCTAGTAGGCCTGGGCTGTAATTATTTTAATTACATGCCCCATTATCTGTTTATCCTACCTATCTCCTCTTCAGCCTCTTAAAAAATGGGGTCTCGATTGAATTTGTATTCCAAGGTCACTGCTGTATTCCCAGCAGCCAGGACTATGCCACTGACACAAAGCAGGTACTTAGTCCTTTGGAGAGATAAGAAGTTAGTTGCTTCATCTGAAAACATGGAGGAAGAGACAAGGTATGAACCTTTCTAGTCCTAGTTTGCTTATCTTAGTCAAATTTTGTACACAGTGTTATAGACAAGTTGGTTTGGGTTGTTTTTAACTAAAATCTTCCATTAGGGCTTTTTTTTTTTTTACTCCCTCTACATTTTTCAATTTTTTTCTAGTATTTGACCCCAGAAAGAGTCAGGAACAAAACACTCCGAGCCAGGGAAAGGGGAGAGAACACATCTACAATGATCACTAAACACTTTGAAAAAAATATGAGACTGCCGATCCCTTTATGACAGCCTGTTGTGATGGCAACAGTCCCATGCTCTCCGACAAACTTTTTCAAAACCTTTTATTCCATTTTATCCCCCACAACATTTCTGTTGTGAACATAGTTTTTACAGTTTACACATAAGAAGTCCAGGGTTGTTAGTGGCTTTCTCAACGCCAGACAGTAAGTAAGTAGGCCAGCTGGGACTAGCATCAGGTGTCCTGATCCCCACCCTACAGAGGCTCTGCTCCTTCCCCTGTGACATATGCAGGGGTCACAGTGCACCTTCGTGAGGGATGGGTTAGAGGCTGTTGCCCTGTTCCCCTTGGAGGCCAGGAAAGGAACATGCTGCCCCGCAACCTCACGTGCAGAAGCCTTCCCTGTACGTGGGTTGAACATCCACACCCCTGCTCAACTGTGCCGCCTGGCTCCGAGAAAATGCCTTTTAAAAATTAAATGCTTTCAAAGAGAAGCAAAAATAATCAATGTAGCTTTAATAATTTAAGGGATGGAAGGGAAAGCTAATCTCAATTGAAGAATGTTCTGAAGTAACAGAAGAGAGATTTTTAAGAAATGTAGTTATATTCCTTTAGTTGCATTTGGTTGCAAGTTAACAGGGTTTCTTAGACATGTTTTAGGGGTGCTTTTAAAAGTGAGTAAAAATGAGAATATCAATTGCTTGTGTAAAAGTGCAAATGCTTGATAAGACTTTCAAATGGCACTCTCTCGAGCATTATAATCACTATCCATTGTTAGTTTGTAGGAAAGAGTAAAATTCTGCCCCAGATTTGTCATATTTTGTCATCTATTGACTGCCTATTGTTCCAAAGTTGTTTTTTATTTACATTGCTTCAGTAATTTCTTATACAACCCTTCAAAATAGATATTTTACAAAACAGGTAACTGAGAACAGAAAAAGTCAGTAACTTGCAAAAGGTTGTGCTGTTGCTATTAAAATTCAGCATCCCTGAGATTCGCACCCTTGTCTCTCAGACACCAGAGCCCTCTTTGTGCTCTTTCCACCGGCTGTCCTGCCTCCAAGGTCGTCCAGTTTGAAGGAATGGCATTTTGTTTATAAGCATCTCAGCCACATTGCAAAAGTCAAGGGTTAATTAACATGTGTAGGATCACTTTTTAAAAAAATAATGATATTTAATAATCAACCTTATGTGCCAGGCACTATTCTGAGCACTTTACATGTATTCATGTACCCTTACAACTCTTTAAATGAATGCCATTATTATTTTTGTTTTGTTGTTTAATTTTTTTTTTAACTGATTTTTAGAGAGAGAAGAAGAAAGAGAAACATCGATGAGAGAGAGCATGAATTGGCCACCTCCTGCATGCCCCCCACTGGGGCTTGGGCCATTATTATTATTAATTTTTTAGGAAACTGAAGCAGAGAATTGACCAGCTGGGCTCTGGTCACATAGCTTTGTTAGTGGAAGATTAGAAACCACTATCTAACTGTTATATAATAATAGAGCTATCTTCTTATGTTCCTGTCTCTTCTCCCTCCCCTTTCTTGGTAAGCTTGTATGTAGTTAAATTTGCACTCAGTTGAAACACATGGACATTTGAAAGGGAGTCTGGAATGGCAGTCGCTGCAGAAATATGACAGAAGCCATATATGTAACTTAAAATTTTCTGGTAGTCACATTACAGAGGCAACAAGAAACAGGTGAAATTACTGTTAGTAATATAGTTTGTTTAACCCAGTGTATTCAAAATATTATCATTTTAAAATGTAGTCAATATACAGAATATAAATATATATTTTTTATCCTCATCCGAGGATATTTTTACATTTATCTTCAGACAGAGTGGGAGGGAGAGAGGAAGGAAGAGAGAGAGAGAAACATCAATGTGAGAGAGACACATCGATTGGTTTCCACCTACACAACCCCAACCAGGGCCAGGGACGAACCGCAACCGAGGTACATGCCCTTGACCAGAATCGAACTCGGGACTCTTTGGTCTGTGGGCTGACACTGTAAGGGCTGAGCCAAACCGGCCAGGGCAATACACAGAATTATTAATGAGATACTTTACATTATTTTTTCATACAATGTCTTTAAAGTTCGGTGTGTATGTTACTCTCACGGCCCAGCTCAGTTCAGAGAGGACCCGTTGCAAGTACTCATGGCCGTGTGTGGCTTTGGTGCTGAACCGACAGCACAGGCTCCACTAAGGCTAAGAACTGGACTCCAGATTCTGAATCTTTTTATTTTTTCCCACATCCCTTCAGTGTCAGGTGGTGAAAGTGATTAAAATGGGCAACCTCCTCCAACTCAGAGCCTGTCTCCTTCTTCCCTGCTTATTTTTCTCCATAGTACTCATGATCTAACATAATGTAGTTCATTCATCCGACTGTTGTTCTGGAATGTTAGCCCCACAAGGGCAGGGCTTCTGTATGTTAATAACTGCTACATCTCCAGTGCCAAGGAAAGTTCCTGGTGCATACTTGGTACTCAGTAAATATTTATTGAATAAATGAATGAGTAGATGGCACAAAGAGTGAACACACTACTTATAGCAGAGAACATCTGTAAACTGGTAGCTGGCTTGCAGAAGGTCATTCAAACCAATCACCAAATAACTAACAATACAGAGCAACTAACCAGTTAAAAATTAACAAGATGGAAAAATTAAACTAGGATTTCATGTCGTCGTTTGGGGGAGGGGCAAGGAAGCATCAACTTTCTTAATAGATTACAGTTGCATTAACAATATCTAGTAATCTCCATTTACCAGCCAGTGTGGCTCAGTGGTTGAGCGTCAACCCATGCACCAAGAGGTCACTGATTCAATTCCCAGTCAGGGCACATGCCGAAGTTGTGGGCCCGATCACCAGTGGGAGGCCAATCGATGTTTCTCTCATCGGTGTTCCTCTCTCCCTCTCCCTTTCTCTCCCTAAAAATCAGTAAAGAAAAAAATATTTTGAAAAAACAATATCTAGTAATCTAATCTGTTTCAGTTATTTCTATAATTCAGCATGATGCTCAGTTTTGGCTTATTATTCCTTTTGCATCCTTGGGAATTCTTCAAATTCTCCATTGGCAGCATACATTTGCAGAAAAGGGATTTCAACTTGATGAAATAAAACAAATTAACTTTGTCTAAGTGCCTTCGTTCCTTTTTGGGAACTATGTGCATGTGTTTATGAGAACAGATAGTTTATTTTTAGAACAAAATTTCTAGAAGTTTCTGTTGTTGTTTTAGTAAGTGTTTGACATTTACACTGTTGTTAAATCAACTAGTTTTCTTAGGTTTAATTTTATTATTAACTGTACTATTTATGTAATAGTAGAATCCTTTTTATTTATAATCTAAGAGTCAAAATAATACTGAAACTTTATTTTCCTAACTTTTTTAAATCACATGCCTGTTGATGCAAATTTGATATTTTTAAAGAAGACACAATTTGTTCTTTAATTTGAGGAATTTCTCATAGAAAACAACAACAATAATACATCTAATAGCAGTCCCATCTTTTTTCTGAAAACTACTTATCATGTAATAACTTTGGGTAAAAGATGTGAGAACTACAACTTAGAGCTTGCCTCGACCTGAGCTCATTCGCATTGATTTAGTATTTCGGTTTATTGTGAATCCGAGAACGTGGAGTACCCTAAACCAAAGGTGGCATGGAATGAGCAGACACATCTTTGTGCATGAGGCTCTGCCTGGGCCGTCTGGTTGCCAGGTTCCCTGGTCTAACCCCCAGTGCTCTCATTTTCGTCTCCGTTGAGCAGGATAGAGATGTTTTCCCAGAGGGCCGTGCTGCCAAC